GGGTTTTTTTTTTGTGTGTGTGTGTGTGTGTCCCACGGAGTCAGATACAAGGTGAAATAAATCATAGACCTCTCCCGGAGCTGAGCTGGCGTCATTCGTGGCACCTCTGTACCGGAGGCTCGGGGTGGGGAGCGGATTAGCACGAGGCCCCAGGGTGCTGCTTCTGGGGGCAGCAGAACAGAGCTGCCACTTAGAAAGTAAGAAAGTTTATTTTAAAAACAAATCAAAAGCTCAATTCATAATTTAGTAGCATAAGTTATTAATCCAACCGGCAGCAAACCAGGCCGACTGCGTCAGCGCTGCCTAACGAAGCCGTTAGAGCTGCCAGTAACAAATAGGAGCAGTCTTTGACAGCTCGGCTGAGCCTCCTCCTAGGCAGCTTTTGGCAACATGATTGCAGAAGCGGCTGCCACGGGCAAAGTGGGAGCAAAACCAGGCACCAGGCACAGCTAACGGCAGCGGGGTGCTGCGTGCAGCCAGGGGAGGCTGGCACAGGCGTGGGGGAGCACGTGGGAAATGAGACTTGGTCCCCAAAACCACACTGAGGTGTGGGGAAAAGAGGGGCAGCCCCTGGCAGCCGTGAGGGCCTTCACCCAGGGGAGCTGGGCTGGGGAAGCGGAGCCGTGGTGGCCTGGGGATGTGACTGGTCCCTGTGGGAGTGGGGGTCTGGGGGTCCTGAGGCCATGAGGTAGGTGCTCAGCAGCCGTCTCTGTGCCCAGGGCAGGGGGTGCCCCGGCCTCCTCTCTGAGACCGGGAACCTCTACATTCCCACAAGGGGATCTTGTGCCCTGGGTGCCAAACCCAGGCCCTGGCCCTGCTCTTCCTTGTGTTTCTGGCTCTGTGAGATGGAAAGGATCTGGGGGGGATGAGGATGAGGAGTGGAGAGGCTGAGGATGCTCCTGCCTTCCTGCCCCATGGAAGAGGCAGGGGGGAAGCTGGAACTGCACCCAGGATGAGCGCAGCCTCCCTGGGGCCGTGGGGGGAGGCAGGGCCGGCCCGGAGCAGCCCAGGGCTCAGTTCTTGCTGAAGCCTGTGGGGTTCTGCAGCTGCCACCGCCACAGGTCCTCGCCTGCAGGAGGGAGAAGGATGGTGAGGGGTGGGTGGGGAGAGGGGCAGCCGGTGCACACGTTGTGCTGGGGAGGGGATGCTCTTACACATCTTGTCCAGGCCGAAGGCAGCTTTCCAGCCCAGCTCGTGCTCGGCCAGCGCCGGGTTGGCGTAGCAGGAGGCCACGTCTCCCTCCCGCCGGGCCATGATCTTGTACTTGATCTGCAGGGAAAGCAGCACCGTGGGGTCTGGGGGTCCTGGGGCTCAGCAGAGGGGACTCACCCGAGGCACAAGGTTTGCTGTGGCAGTGATGGCTTGGGGGGGTGAGGGGGAGCCTGTGGGAGCAGTCAGCTCCGTACCTGTGGCCCTGCAGACCGGGTCAGACCTTACCTCCCTCCCTGAGGCTTTCTCCATGGCCCGGACCATCTGCAGGACGGAGTAGCCGGTGCCTGTGCCCAGGTTGTAGATCTAGGAGGAGGAGAAGGGACATGGCTCAGCTTCTTTCACAAGGGGAGCAGGGCCAGGCTCTCTTTTAGCTCCCTCTGGGCTGTGAGAGCCTGGCCCAGCCCCACACCTCGGACAACGGCCCTCCCGGTACCTTGCAGCCGCAGTTCTCCTTGAGCTTCTTCAAAGCAGCGATGTGGCCCTTGGCCAAATCCACCACGTGGATGTAATCCCTGACGCCTGCGGGGACACAGAGGGTGAGCACAAAGCTCTCCTGCCCTGGGTGCCACCAGGATAGGGACCTCTGGCTGCCCTGGGGACAGGGTGCTCTGCCACCCACCCGTCCCATCGTCCGTCTTGTAGTCGTTCCCAAACACATTCAGGAATTCCCGGCGTCCCACTGCCACCTGCACAGAGGGACAAACCCACAGGAGCCCCGTCAGCCTGTGCCCCACACCGGCACCACAAAGCCAGGGGGCCTCAGAGGCTGCAGCGGGGTGGTACCTGCGCCACGTAGGGCATGAGGTTGTTTGGGATCCCCTGGGGATCTTCTCCAATCATTCCCGACTCGTGGGCACCGATGGGGTTGAAATAGCGCAGGAGAATGGCGTTCCAGTCCTGGGGAGACACAAAGGTGGCTGCCTGGGGAGGGTGCGGTGCTGTGTGGTGCTGCCTGGCCACCCCAGCCCGCTCCAGTGGGAAAAGACCTCGGCTCCCAGCCCTGCACGCCCTGGGGCAGCTCCTCACCCTCTCTGCTTTGCAGAGATCCCGAATCATCTCCTCGATGAAGTACTTGGATTTGCCATAGGGGTTGGTGCAGCCTCCAACCGGGTGGTTCTCATCCAGGGGCAGGTACTTGGGGTCTCCGTAGACGGTGGCAGAGCTGCTGAACACGATGTTCCTCACGCCGTGGGCTTTCATGGTCTGGGGAGCAGGGAGCAGTCACCGCCAAGCCAGCGAGCTCCGTGTCCTTCAGCTCAGCCCTCCGATGGTGGCAGCTCCCACCACGCAGGCACCGTTACACCCCTGGGCACGGGGAGCACCACAGGACCAGGCTGCCAGCCCCCAGCAGGATCACACCCAGCACCCGAGTGGGCTGCCTCCCAGCCCTGCTCACCTCCAGCAGGCGGATGGTCCCGGTGAGGTTCACCCTGTAGTACTCCAGGGGCTTCTGCACAGACTCCCCCACCGCCTTCAGCCCCGCAAAGTGCATCACGGCTGAGAAACGGTGCTGCAGAGGAGAAGGAGCTCGGCGTTAGTACCTCAGCAACAGCAGATAGAAGGTCCACGCAGAAACCAGCCAGACATTTCTCCAGGAGTTTCTCTCAGCCACCACATGCAGTCCCCATGGCCCAGAGGAACATTTGTTGGTCATGGCATCTCCCCAGCACCATCCTTCCCGCTCAGCTCCTGCCCAGTCCACATCTCCCTCCCGGCTCCCACCCCCAGCACAAACCCCTCTCAGCCCCCAGAGCCCACGAGGCCACCCCGGGGCACTGCAGCTCTCGCCCTCACCTTACTGAAGAGCTCTTGCAGTGCTGCCTCGTCGGTGATGTCCAGCTCCTGGAAGAGGATGGGCTGGCGCACGATCTGCTGCACGCGCCGCAGGCTCTCGGGGAGCGCGTCTGCCCCTGCAGAGATGGAAGGGAGTGAGGCTCTGGGGCAGCCAAAGGTCCTGGCACAGACTGAGAGAGGCTGAGCACCTTGGGTGGGAAGGGATGAAGGCTCTGCGTACCTTGGATGGCGTTGTGAAAGTTGTCTATGACCACGGGGACGTAGCCAGCCTCCACCAGCTCCAGCACGCAGTGACTGCCGATGTAGCCGGCTCCACCGGTCACCAGGATCTTCTCTGCCATGGTTCCCTGGGGGAGCAAAGGCCGTTCAGTGCAGAGAGCAGTGTGAGGTGGCCTGGGGTGCGTACAACAGCCCAGGGCCCTGGGAGGGAAGGCGCAGGGAGGCTCGGACACTGTCACGTCAGCACTGCCCCTGGGCACTCCCTGTGCTTGGCCCAGCCAGCGCCAGGAGGCTTCCAGACAGGAATGGGCTGGGCTGGCTGCAGCACACCCTGCCGACGTGTTCACACCTCCCGGACAGGGAGGGTTTATCTGACACTTGTCACACACCGGGGAAAAAGAAAACCTTTGTTCTTCCTGTTAAATCCAGCCAAGATCCTGGTGTCACCCATACCCTACAGCACAAATCCCCTGGGTGAATTCACCCCACAGCACAAGGGCAGGGAGTCACCCAATGGTGTGAGCGTGGTTGGTCTCCTCACGGGGCTCTGCCCTTTTTCACCCATTCCCCATTTCTTGTCCTGTTTGAAAATCTCCTCTGTACCACAGTCCCAGCACTTCCTCCAGCCTCACTTCTCTGGGCCTAGGAAGGGAAATAGGAAGGAAACCTGGAGAATAACCTGAGAGAAAGCCCCCGTCCCTAGGAACCGAGCAGCAGCCTCTGCAGTGGGTAGGAGGGAGAATTTGCTTTATTACCCAGGCACCTGGAGGCAGCACAGGGAAAGTCTCCACCCCAGGTGCCTTCAGTCGCTCTCAGAGCTGCTTCCTGGGTTAAAAATCAAACTGGAACCCCTAAACTGCCCTGCCCTGTGTCTGCCGCGGGCCCCAGGGCTGCTATGGAAGGGGAGGTTGGAGCCTGAGCCGGGCAGGCAGCGGCTGGAAAAACAAAATAACGCTGCTTTTAGCTGGGCAGGTGAGCGGGCAGCAGGGCAGGGGCCTGCGGGACGCGGTATGGACGTGGCACGGCCACGGAACAAGGTTACCGGTGAGGCACAGCGAGCCCAGGGCCAGGGACACCCCGGGTGTGGGCTTGGGGCCGTGAGTTACCTGAGGAACCGGGGCCAGGTCCGCCTGTGGGGCCTGGGGTCTCCTGAGGGGACGCGCATCACCGG